CAAAACTCTAAACCCAAAACCCAAAACCCTAAACTCAAAACCCTAAACCCTAAACCTTGAGCCGCTCTTGGGGGGGTATTCCATGGGCCGCTGTCGGCCAGCCCCCACAAACGCTCAAATGTCAAACGCAGCCCCAAACTCTAAATCCCAATAACCCTAAGGGTCCATGTACCCAAATAGCATATACATTGGACCCAAAGTACCTATATAGGGACTACATTAAGGCGCAAGTATATACTATTTGGGTACATGGACCCTTAGGGTATAACCCTACGGCTTAGGGTTTAGGGTTTATAGGGCTTAGGGCTTGGGGTTTTGGGTGTCGGGTTTGGCTGTAAACCCTAAACCCATATAAACCCTAAACCCCAAGCGGTGGCTCTTACACGTTGGGCTTGAGTATTCTCACCTCAGCTTTAAGGATCCATGCACAGAAGAGCTCCACGTAAAGCCACACCACCTTTATTTGTACCGGCCTTGTAGAGTTTAGGGTTTAGGGTTTTGGGTTGCGGCTTTTTGCGGCTTCTGTAACGGGCTGTATTGCGGGGTTAACCACAGGGTTTCACAGCTTCCTGGAGGATACGATCGGGTTATAAAGATGGTCTTTTGTTTAGGGTCTTACACTTGTTTTGACGGACACGACTGCGATTGGGATAGGGCAACCCCAAACCCGATGTAAACCTTCAACCCGAGCACACTTTTCCTAAACCCTACACCCGAAAGAAACCTCGAACCTCAACCATACTGTTGATGATATAACAATCCTGCATTACCGTAAGGACCCTAAACTATGGGAATTATGGTATATTCCTTATTATGGGTAATGCAGGATTTGTATCATCAATCGCATGTCGCCGCAATTGGAAACACACCTTGAACCCCAACTAAGCCGTACCTGTGACCCCAAACCCTACAAAATTAAACAGTAGGTTAAGACCTCTTAACTAGAGGGTAGAACCCTTAAAACGGTAGGTTCGGGGCTCCCCAGGTAAACCTTTCGCTCGGTACAGTTTTGGATTCCCAGCTCGTCGCCCGACGTTCCCCAGACTTCCATTGTCCAGTACCCTAAGGGTCCATGTACCCAAATAGTAGAACATTGGCCCTAAAGTACCACTTTAGGGATTACATTAAGGCCAAAGTATATACATGGACCCTTAGGGCTGTCCAGTGAATCAGCTGGCGCGCCAAAGCTGTCGCGCGTCGGCAGCGGACTGGCGCGAGTCTGGAACCCCACAATGCCAAGTACCGTCATGATGTATGCTTATACGAGTAGGTTTGCTCAGTGATGGTGTATAATTACTTGGGGGTAGATTTCGGGCTTGGCTGTTGAGCTTGGAGTGTTGGTTCAAGTGCTGAGGACGTGAGTAAAGGGTTTAGCCTTGCAGGGTGGGTATCCAAGGGTTCTGATCGCGCGCAGACTGGCTTCACATACCGAGAAGGATTCCTGTAAGAGGTTCCTTTAAGCATGTTTCAAGAATGCCGTAAGGGTTGAGGGTATAAGGCTCATGTAACCATATTGAATATACTTCGGCCCTGCAGCACCTCTACGGGAACACCTTCAAGGCCTAGAAAGATGCTTTCGGGTACATGGAGCTTGTGCTAACACCCACAGGGGTCCAAGTATCAATACAGCAGATACTTGGTATTTGGGCCCCAGAAGTAAACCCTACACTATTCAAACCCTTTGGGATAAAAAGTTGTATAGTAACTATACCCTACATTACTTCTATGAAGCTATCACTCTTTAAGTAGGGTCTATTCCTGCAGTTAGCAAGGTAAACGGACAGACATGTAGTTACATGGTCAGCTAAGCTTTGAGGCAGATACCTCCGGGACTCCGGGCTCAAGCCGCGGTGAGTTCCTTCTCAGATCGTTGGCTTCCGGTTTGGTGCAAAAGTTCTAAATGCGTACATGCATACAAACGTTCGTACATACATACCTACATACATGCGTACATTCGTACATGCCAACAAACAAACGAACAAGTTAGCAAAGTTCACACACACACACGCTCATACATGCATGTATACCTACCAACCTATCTATCTACCTACCTACCTACCTACCTACCTACCTACCTACCTACCTACCTACCTACCTACCTACCTACCTACCTACCTGGGTTCAGGCTTAGCCGACGAGGACCCTAGTTCGCGTGAACACCTACATGAAAAGGACTGAATCGACAAAAACAAAGGAGCTCAAACATGTGGGCTTCATACGGTTCAGGTAAGCCCCAACCCTAAACCCTTAAACCCTAAACCCTAAACCCTGGCCCTCCTCCCGGACCTGGCAGCATGCCAACGCTGCAGCATAGATTGACTCGTCTGGAATGATATCCGCATCCGGCAGTGCATGAAAGAGCAGTAGACCCTCGGCTGTAGGGCTTGGGGTTCAGGGTTTAGGGTGACCCTCGGCTGTGATATGGGGGCCCATAAACGGCCTTAGAGATCAACTTAGGGTTTTGGGGTGTATTGACCTATGTTGATAGCCAGAAGGAATCGTAACCAGTATCATTTTTACTCATCATTCTGGCTTCGATGAAAGTCTTTACAAGTTTCTGGTTCAGGGCTGCAGGCGGCGGGTTTACCCTAAGGGCCCATGTGCCCAAATAGTATCATCTGTGGCCTTGAAAGAACCAATGGTTCGGTACTTTATGGGCCAAGGCATCTACGATTTGGGCACATGGACTCTTATACCTTGTGGAACCCCTATTAATTAAGGAACACCTTGAAAGGAATACTGGGTACATCCACCGGCAAGGTGCGCAAAGACTTAAGGCTGCTTGGAAGGCCCGGAAGCCTGAAACTCCACAAACTTGCGGTTTGGGCTTTAGGTTTTGTTCATGGATTAGGGTTTAGGCTTCAGGGTGAGCCTTTCCGATCGCGAAGGCTTTTGGACATGCTGCTCAAACAACCTTCGCGAATTTCGGAAATTCTTTTTAATCCTTAAGCCGTCTCCTACAAGATCTTGCACATGGGTAGTTCTCTAAATTAGGGTCCCTTTTTAGGTCCCCAATATAGTACGGCACCCTTATAAAAAGGACCCGAAAAGGAACCTTAATTTTGAAAACTACCCACATGCAGCATCACGAGCTAGCGAGCCTCATAAGGAAACCCAACCTGCCATCAGCCCTCACGACACTTTTACATCACGTGGGCTGCAGTGACTTCAATATCAACTTCTACCTGTGCGCCCTATTCTAGTCAACTGACCGAGTTAAAGTAGTTCGGGTGGCACGGCACTGGCAGTCAGCAAAAACCACACCAGCTACACAGCTAATTGGGCCGCGAGGGACTTACAACATCTAGGTTTGGATAATTATGACCGCAAGTTGGCCACAACCCGAAACCCGACACAACCAAACCATGCAGGGTTTCATTGTGCAGGAATTGGTTATGCTTGACTCGACTTCCTGAAACCCTGCGGATCTTTTTGGCTACAGAGTGGAGTCCGAAACCCTAAACTGGAAGCCACCCCTTAGGCTCTGAGGACTCGAATTCTAAGGCGTTTGGGCCCAAAGACCATACCGCATAAGGCTTTTGGGCCATTCTGAGCCTTAGGGCACATGCAAGTCTCTACGCCCGCAATACTCGAAGGTCCACGCTTAACCTTTCGACCCTAAATGTCCTTGTTTGTTGAAGTCGTCTTGCAACATACCACTAAACCCCAAACCCTAAACCCTAAATCCCCAACACTAAACCCCAAACCCTGCACCCCAAATCCCGAACCCTAGACCGAAAACCCTTACGGAGACCCGATGACTCCAAAGCAGTTGGCTTAGAGTTGAGAGTTGTTTCTGTTTTTAGGGTTTAGGGTTTAAGGGCTTCGGGCTTTTAGGGGTTAGGTAAGGTTTCGGGGTCCAGCAAGTTAAGTAAGGCGGAGTCCTAAAGAATCTCATATGTTTTAGGCTAGGGTTGACCCCCAAATATAACCTGCCTTGTCAGGAACTTGTTTTCAAGTAAATCCAACCCTCAACCCCCAAACCCCTTAAC